GCGACAGTTATTGATACATGGGTTTGAATATTTGGTCCATCTACTGTAGTAGCGTCCTTGCTCCTAGTAGTAAGGCCAGGAGGCCCTAATAGCTTCTTATTACTAGTAGCTTTTTGCTAATAGTTGTACTGCCAGGAGCCCAGGAGCTACAAGTAGCTTCTTGCTACGGGTAGTAAGGTGCCTTGTAACTAGTAGCGATGCCCTTTGTTACATATAATGTTGGCCTTGGATGTCCTGACCGACCATGATGAATGACACACGTTGGCCTTGGATGGTGCCGGCCTTTAAGTACACTATTGGCACCCTTGCTTGCGGACAGACCTCACGCCGCCCCTTTCCTACCCATGAGGTGGGGTGCACAAAGGGTTATGGAACCAAACAACAAAAACCGCTCTATGCGCTAGGCACTGGTCTTGGTACTGACATCTCGCAAATATGGTCTCACGAGTCTTGTGGATGGTCTTGGAGGAATCGCAAAACAAGCAAATGGTGGAGGTGAATCGTAAGGAGACCTCAGGAAACTCTCGTGCAAATAAGCCGAAAGATAGACGAACTCAGGGCAGCCTGGGCAGCTTGTAACATTTTTCCAGTTTGATCTACAACGAACAAACCTTGCTCGCCTGGCCCATGTTCAAGCCTTTTCGGCACAGTGGACACCTGCGGGCGGCTTCGTGGCTTCGTTGGTCGGCTTCGGCTTCGGGCCTTCGTTTCTGGGAGAAGTCCACGAAGGACCGTTCCAAACTTCACTCAGTCCGGGTGCAAAGGTACTGCAACTATGTGCAAACTATGTGCAACTGCTGCGTCCAAAATACACACAACAGACTATATATGTGCACAGTGAAGCTTTAGATGGCAGCAAATAGCTCTTCAATCCAAGTGTGCAAGCAACAGTCCCGCTCGGATTAACCGCACCTAAACATACCGTCGCTCATTGCAATGCTAGCCACCTGGGAACACAACTTGACTTGCGATCGGTTCTCTCGGTTTCTTAAGCAACAGCCTTCTTGACTTGCACTTCATTGGATTCTGCTACTTGTGGACACCTGGTCATTTGCACAATTCCCACCAATTAAATTGGAGCGCCATTCCTACAGCTTGGCCTTTTTTCCAGAGCGCAATATGGCGCATCGATTCGCATCAAGCAAGCATTTATCTGTGCAGCTGTTTTAGGCTGTTTGACGCAATGCCTCACCCATTGCCCTACGGGCCATTGCCCTACGGGCCATTCCTTTCGGGCTTTAAGTTTCGCCGGGGACCGGTTCACGTTCCCGATGGCCGATCGAGGTAGATTGAAGGCCCTGACCATCCAGGTGGTGATGCAGGACTTGTGGAAGCGATGCCTCGGCGAAGGTGTGAAGTGAACAACGGTGTGCTTCAGTCTCCAGAGTGCCGATCACTCAACGCATGGGGTGACCAGTTTGTTAAACTTGCTCCCCACATTGACGTGTGGGGTTTTGTTCTTAGTGTTGTATCCGCTCTCCTCTGCTCTACGCCTCTCCTCCTCCCGCCCCCCCACCACCAACCAACCAACCACCAACCACCAACCCCCAACCACCAACCACCAACCAACCAACCAACCAACCAACCAACCAACCACCCAACCACCCAACCACCCAACCACCCAACCACCCACCTCACCCAACCACCCAACCACCCACCCACTACCCACCACCCACCACCCAACCAACCACCAACCACCACCAACCAACCACCACCAACCACCAACACCCAATTGTCCGCTCCTGTGTCTGGTGAAGTTGTTACTGTTAACATGATAGGTTATCCGGTCCTATAACCATTAAAACAGAATTCAAAGGGGGGTAGGCCGCTAGAGGTGAGGTAGGTTAGCTAGGTAAGCAGCTAGTAGAAGTTATATAGGTAGCTAGTATCTTAAGGAGCCACTACCTAGGACGCAGGATAGCTCACTCTTCTTCAAGGAAGCTCCCCCCACCTGAGGGCGGGGGGGCTTCCTTGAAGAAGCGCTCGCACTAATCATGTGGTTCCTAGATTTTTAGGTAAACTTAACCCCATCTTGCTGACACAAACATTCGCGTGAGTATTCCCGGTCACGTCGTATCAGACTGGTTTACACCCGCATGAAACGTGACGAAATGATCAACTTGGGGCCTTGACTTGGAATGGATAAACAAAGCGAAAAGGGAGAGACCAGGGAGAGACCCAAAGAGCGCAGAAAAGAGCACACAAACTCCAACGGCTGCACCGCCTGTTGCCACATCGAAGTTCCGCTACTTGGGTGGCTTCTGTACCTGCGACGAAAAACCCAATGATCCAGCTCTGCCAACTGCATGGAACAGTTGTCACACTAAGATCCGCTTGGTGCAAATTGCACTGAGTCGCTTCCCAGCTACAATTAGTATTTAAGATGGGATGTATTTTTCCAAGCTCCATGACAGCTGGCGCTCTGGTTTTCGGGCAACGCGGTCGACCATGTTTGGAAAACGCAAGAGGGTTGTTGTGGGAATATTATTAAGCATCGCTAGTAGTGTAGTAACAAGAAGCTACTAAATACAATTATAACTAAATTCTTATTGTTACTACTAGTAAGGCACTTGTTACTACTAGCGTGGCACTTGTTACTAGTAGCTTCCTACCCCCTCATCGTGTTTTGGCTGGTTCGTTCCATGGATGTGGACTGCTTCCCCTTGTGTAGCCTGGGGCTCCCTCTTACCTCTGCGGTTTGAACTAAAAGAGGGATGCATCATGACAAACGTGGAATACAACATGTTCGTTGTCGTGTTGCGTGGCATTGTTGCCTTTGCCATGTCTCTCTGTCTCTCTTCCACTCCCTTCTCGGCTGTGTTTAGAAGCGTCCAGGGTTCAGCTTCCGGGCATTGCCTGGGCGACAACCAGGGAGCCACTCACTCATTAGTAGCGATGACTCTGTCACTTTATAAAAGAATACACGAACATCAACTTCATCCTGATTTTTGACCAATGATTTTGGACCAAGGTGGATTATATATGTTGATTCAAAGGATGAATGAATGTCGATAAATCACTGTGCATTTAAGAAACAAGAGCTTTGTTCTTGATAGGTGAACCTTGCTCACATGTTCAACACCCGGTCAGGTCATGGTCAACAATCACTCCAAGACACGGTTGTTCGTTTTGCTCCGCTGGAAGCGCACTGGCAAACCCTTCTGCATGCGAATGCCGCGCCTCAAGCAGTTGGGTCCATTGGCTGATGGCTTTGCTGTAGGGGGTTCCATGGCGGAACGTGTTGATATGATCTGGTAAATGCATCTTGAGAAGGAGGCCAACATCTCAATTATCTCAACAGTCTAGGGAACAAACTTGGTCCAGCCTTATCCCTCAGTACCCATGTTTGCATGCCAAGCTGGGGTCAAACCATTTCAATGAAAAGTGCCGGGCAGTTTCCGCGCACCTGTGCTTGATTGCCACCAAGGCCTTGCAATTTGCCTGCATATTTGAGAAAGCAAAACAAATCTTGCTTCCACGAGGGCCAGCAGGTGTGCTGCTTTCAAATCTGAGGGACAACCTCTAACGTACAATCTTATGTTTAAGAGTTCTCTGTTTGAAACATACTCGTTGCCTTTGCAAAACAAACACGTCAGTGGCTATGACAAAATCATTAACAACATCCATGCCGTGTCAAGGAGGTAGCAAATTTGCAGAAGTAAGATTTCTTCACTCCGCCTTGTACATGCGCCTCAAGGGGTTTTCTAAGACGTACTTGCCAATCTCTTCAGCCATGCGCTGTTCCTGATGTGCTTCATTCAAGCCACCAATCACATCTAATCACCAATGACTGCTATGCTTCGGCCTCCCAAATCGGCGCAAACATTGTCGGAGCATTCAGAAGGATGCAAAAAAAGGGACAATGGTTTGGAAGTATTTAGTAGATTAATGTCATAGGATTGCATAAACACCCTGAATGAGATTGCTATGAAAGAGGTGCAGCTCCTCGTCTTCAGTCAGAGTATTCACAATCCTCAGCTGGTCAAGGAGAGAGATGTATACTGTATGTGGCTGTTCATGGGGCAGGGATTCAGTGTGTATTGACCATGCAAAGTACTGTCTGTACGATGAGAAGTCCAAAGAACCAGTAATTAAAACGATGTAAGAAGTGAGTGACATTCCGCTGATGTCTCACACCCCAAATTAGCAGGTGCCATCTGAGCAAAGCATACGTTGCAGCCAAGCATCTTATATGGGTCAAGCGAACAGTCGATGCAAATTTTGAAAGCAGTGGTCTTGCCAATGCCATAGACGCTGCAGATCAAAGCGTATGCCAGCTCCTTGTTACCTTAAAACTAACGAGCCCAGGCAGTGCTCAGCTGAATGTTAACCAACAATTCTGAGAGAACATGAATCAGGTAGAATAAATGCCTTTGCTCTTGTCGCCGTTTCCTGCGTTTTTCCCCCAATGGATACCAACAAAACACAGTCAAGGCCCGTCAAAACCAGTGCAACTATTGCCGACGAGTCTAAAGGAGAAGGGACACAAAATGCCGGCAAGGCACGGGGGATCTCCTGACAAATTTGCCCCGGCAGTGTTGCGCATGAAAGCAACTTGTTTGTGACATTGTGAGAAATCAATCTAGACTCAGCTGGCATTTTAAAGTTAACATCTGGTTTCTACTAAGTTGTTTGTTCCTATACCAAGCATGCTTCCGCCAATGCAAGTCATGTCAAACAATCCGCGCTCTTGGCCAACCCCGCAGATCAAGGTGTCAGTTCTCACTCCATTCTATGCCTTTGATATTTCTATATATATCTAATTTGGATTAATTTGGTGTAAATACTAGGAAGGACTCGTCACCACCTTGCCAGCCAATCGCAAGCGTCGCTGTGTCAAGCTGCGCCTGCAAAGGGTAGCATCCAGAGCTTGTAACGAACGTGTCAACGCAATCTACTTTCTCGCAGCCTTGGACTGGATTCTAAACACATAAGTTCACTGAAACGTCACACACAGCACACAGCACACACACACACAGAGTTCGAGTGCTCGGCGCAAAACGCGCCAGCTGTGCCGCAGCAAGGCACCGGCTACGGCCAGCACGGCGAAGGCACCGCCGGCCGCAGTAGGTGTGGCTCCGGCGAGATCACTACGGCTGCGCATGCTGCGCACGCTGCGCACCTGTGCAGCTTTTGGGTCAGAGACTTTTGGCCCGGAGGGATGAATGTGCTTAAAGGTTTGTTACGGTGTGGAGCTGTTTGGAGCCTTTAGGCCTTGTCAACCCCAACAAGCCGTTCCCGATGGTAAGGGCCCAGAGTTGGCAATTAGGTGAATTTAAAGGTGTTGTTGCCCCGACTTAGTGGGAACTGAGGAACAGCAAAGGAAATGTTTGTGTGTGTCTTTGTTGAAGATCCATGTCCTGTGAAGCCATTCATGAGACTTCAAGAAACTTCAAAATGGGAAGGAACCCGAAAGAGTGCACGCTTTGACCATTTGCACACACAAAAAATCTATTATAATTTAGTATATTATACACCTGAGAAGGGAGGGGACGAAAGCCAGCCCTCGTAGACCCTCAGAACTCTAGTCTAGTAGACACTGAGAACTCGTAGCCAGCCCTCGTAGTAGGTTGGAGGCATTGCTACGTACGTTTTGGGACCCTCGCAGTCCTTTGCAGCCCTTCTAACGAATGCCGAAACTGCAAAAAAAACGAGCAAAAAGTGATATATCTACCACTACACATGCCGTTTTCGTTGAGTCCGTTACTCACAATGCGTTTCGGCCCACCCTCTCTTGGACCACGTAGACTCTAACGGCCCTTCTTCGTTGATTACAGCGGTAGCACGCCTGCTTGCAGGTTGCCGTCTTTACAGCTGACCGCATCCATGTTTGCTGGGGAAGAACCACACACAACTAGACAGACTGCTGTCCACTTATTGAATGGTATCCTAACCTGCTAATGATGCACTATGCAACCTGTTTGGCATCACTCGCATTACCAAAGCCATTTTAAAATTGCATTTCTAGCCCTTGGTTCAAGCCTACCAGCTGGCTGGGCTGTGCCCAGCAAATTGAGCCCGTGAGCGTCATGTCGATTTGGAAGGGCCATCGACGGCCCGCAATAGAGCTGCGAAGGATCCCCGGCGATCCTGAGAGGTTCATGGAGCTTGAGACTGGGCAGTACTGGACCTGCGTCGGACTGACCTCCGATCTGGACCATTTCATTTGCTATGAGCCTTGCTGCTTGGATGACATGCCTTCGGTCATTGATGCATCAAGATGCAAATGTTTCCCAGTTTTCTCCCCGAATGGTTCCATTGTGCCTCGGTTGCTCGATATCTTCGCTGGGACAGGTGCTGTAGGACGCACCTTCAGTGCCTTGGGATTTCAGACGATTGCCTCACTCGACATTGGAGATCTTGCCTGCAGTCACTTGAGGCAGCTGAATGACGGAATCACCATCCAGGGAGACATCAGTGATCCTAAGGTCCTCACTCTGCTTCATGACACGTTGATCCAAGCAGGGGTGGAGGGTTTTTGCCTTTCGGCCGGCTTTCCATGCCAGCCGTTTTCGAGACAGGGTCTAATGCAAGGCACAGATGATTTGAGGTTTGGTGCATTTGAAGGACTTGTCACTGCGATCAAGTGCCTAAAACCAAGACTTGTTCTTCTAGAGTGCGTGCCACTTGCAGCTGAAAATCAAACAGTTCGTAAACACCTGCAACAGCTGTGTGAACGGTTTGGATGGGAGCAAAGGGAAATTTGTTTGGAGTTAGGTCATCAATGGCCCATGAATCGGTTGAGGTGGTTTTGTGTTTTGTCTGATGCTCGAAACTTGCCACCCCGCATTCCACCATGGGGTATTGATCGCCATCACCAATCCATTCAAGATGTTTTGCCCTCCTTCTTGCCATCCACACATCATGGAATGCGCGAATTGTACTTGAGTCAGTATGAACTAGATTGCTACTTGGACGCAAGATTCGGTCAGGACAAGCGGCAGTTAGGTCCTAAGGACAAATGCTGTACGATACTACACTCGTACGGCTCACCGCTGCATGGTTGTCCCTGCGGATGCAGGAAAGCAGGATTTGCGCTCGCCAGCTTAGTCACTAAGGGCCTCAGAGGATGTTTCGTGGTCTCTCCAGACCACCCTGCACCGAGATACCTTCACGCTGATGAGCTGAGAGTTTTGTTTGCACTGCCACCGGATTTGCAACTGCCTTCTGATCAGAAGCAGGCACTTTGTTTGGTAGGGCTAGTCGCTGCACCACTCCAAATTCTTTGGGTAATGGGACATGTCATCTTGGCAGCTTCTCGCACTGATGAAGACATTGCTCCTCTGGATCCAGCCTTTATCCTGGAAGAGTACAAAGAACGCATCTTGGCATTCTCGAAAGCCCCAAGCCATGCACAGCACATCCTGCGCATCGAGCACCACCATGAGCCTTCCTGGTCTCTCCGCTTTGACGACAAAGCATCCGTGGCTGATCTGGTGCAAGCAGAGCGAATGAATCTTGCTTGGGGACACACAGTGCAGGTGTTCTCTGATGATCAATCGGTTGACGACCTGAGTTCACTGAGCTGCCATCTCGATGGTCTTCGTCTTGAACACATGCCCAAGAAGAGCAAGACTGAAGTTCAGATAGCACATCTGATCATTCAAATCAAGATTTGTGGGCTCAGTCATATCGCGATTTTGCCACGAGGCAACATGCTTTTCGCCTTTGTCGACAAGGTTTTGGACAGCAGACCTGCCCTCGTTGTCAATGCTGATGGAGAAAGGGTCCCACTAGACACTCGGATCTGGTTTCCAGGTAGCTTCATTGCTTTGACCAAGAACACTTTCTCATGCTGGCCTTTGCGCTTGAGTCTTGAGGGAAGAGGCACACATGATGATGCATTTCCTACCTCAGCAGGATTGTATGAAGCTGAAGTTGAGCTGCTTGTCTTTCGGTTCTTGCACCTCCAATGCATTGATCCTCACCTTTTTTGGACAGCACGATGGATTGTAGACATCACGGAGCTTTGGCCACACGAGGCCCATCAGCGCATCCTGCACAAATGGCTGAAAGGGGGAGAGATACAAGGATGTCGTTTTGGCATTCTTTGGGAGGCAAATCATTGGAGTGCATTCTTAGTGACCCATCACGACAACAAGCTCGATGTCTTCATTGTTGATTGCCAAGTTGAGGAGGTCTCTTCTTACATGGACCTCTTCTTTGCCCGTGTCAGCAAGGCGCTCCACTGTCACATGTACCACATCCATTTGACCCACGGCATCGGCCAGACCTTTGGGACACACTGTGGTGCGGTGGCATTTCTCAATGTGGTGAACTTCCTCTACCCCTCAACTGACTTTATGGAGCAAGATGCACACAATCTGTATCTAAGGATTTTGGTACAGAGATCCTTGGCAGAAGAAGCAATTGAAACTGCCTCTGTCTCTACAACTCTCAGTTGGCAGATGATTGGAAGTGGACCTGACATCCAAGCACAACTTGCCGCCCTGATACATAGCAGGGGAGTTCTCGCTGAAGCAAAAGTTGCAAGAGCACAGACCATCATTCAACGACTTGGAGTCCCTACGGTGGTGAAGATCCTGGCAGACAAGAATCCTTGGGCAGCTCTGAAAAATGCAGCCAGCAAGCCAGGCATTTCCCTGCGCATCCTGTCTGACGAGGAGAAGGCACAATACATTGAGATGCGAGCCTCCACAAAACATGGTGCGCACATCAAGGACTACAAGAACAAGAAGGAAAAGAGTGCTCCAGCATCCTCCAAAGATGACATCACTGATCGACTGGTGCCTTCGCAACTTGTGCTGGATCCCAAGATGTTCAAGGACGAAAACGGAGATCCAGTTCCACAACTACAATTCTCACAAGTTGAGGCGGATCAACATGGTCTGGCCATATGCACCATACAGGAGGCAACAGCTTTTCTGATGGCACCAAAATCAATCAGCCCGCATGCTCTAGGACTGCTTCTACTCGAACCACCAGAGCCAGATGTGATGTTGAAGTCAGGTGCTACAAAGATGAGATTCCCGGCGCAATACCAAGTTACAGGAGAACAAGTGTTGATCTTCGGTGCGCTGCTTTGCATCGGTGATATCTCCATCGACAGGGCGACTGCTGGCTCTGTCTCCAAGCAACCTGTCCTGCCCACGGTCATCATCCGGTACACCCTTTACAGGGATCAGTTCCAAGGAAGCTGGCAGACCTTCACTGAAGCTCCAGTTCGAGAAATATTGAAGATGTTTGAGCCCTTGAACTACTGTGACGGCAAGAACTGTGGCTCTGCCTGTAAGAAGACACATCCTGATGTGGACAAAACATATGAAGCGGTGATCTTGGAACTTTGGGGACGACACTTCACCACGGCTGCAGGAACCAAAAAGACACCCCTTGAGGCAGATCAATTCTCATTCCAGGTACGGACTCCAGCCGCCATCATCCTGAGCCTGGTCTCGAACAATCCGGCAGGTCTTTACAGTGACCCTCGCACAGATGACTTCAGAGTTGCACATCCGGACTTTTGTGTCATATGGATCAACAAGGTTGACTTCACACAAGTCGAGCACATGAGTCGAACCTGCTCCTATGCGCTGTCCATCGTCCGACATCGTCAGAGATATGGTATCAGGGTCAAGAAGATAAATGAAGCTAAAGCATGGGCTGAACTCAAGCCGGATCAACATTTTCAGCCTGTGAAAATCGAGCAGATCTTTGAAGTATCTCCGGTGCCACACGGTACGCAAAAGAAGACAATGGAAAAGGTGATGCGCGAATGGAACTGGAACTGCCGTGTTCTCCAGCCAGGACGTGGATCGCACTTTCACATGTCATGGCAGGTAGGTGCACAAGAAGAACCTCCGGCTCGTGTGCTGCAGGCATTTCAATCCGACGTACTGATCAATCCAGTGCGCAAAGTGGAGGTCGAACAGTTGAGGCCGAAGATCTTCCTGGCTAAGAAGACCCAACAGCATCTGCGTCAAGCACCTTCCACGACAAAGGAAGATCAGGACCCATGGTTGAATCACAATGATCCTTGGGCCAAATATGCGGCAACCAGCTCCACATCAGCTCCGCTACCACCACCTACAACAGCCAAGCGCATTGAGGAGATCAAGGGCACACTTCAACAAGAAGTGCAAAACGCCGTACGCAAAGAGCTTGAGAGCCATCCTGCTGGAGGAGCTATGTCAGACACTGAATCTGGCCGGCTTGACCATTTGGAGAGTGCGCTTCAAGAAGTCAAAAGTCAGAACAGTGCTCTGAAAGGATGGATTCAAGATGCGCAGACCAAATTGAATCGACAAGACGCTCAACTTACACAATTGAAACAAGAAGTTGGTGCTCAATCTGAGCAAATGAAAACACAATTCACCAATTTGCAGGGGGAGCTGAATCAATCCTTTGAGAAACAATTCAGCAGGTTGGAAGCGTTGCTTGAGAAGCGACAGCGGCATGAATGACTATCTCAGCCCGGCAGCTTTGCTCGACTGGCAGGCTGGCCGGAAGATTTCATTCAGTCACCACATACTCTCCAACCTAAGGTACAGTTGTCACAGAACTGGTCGGGTCCCATGTCTGAGACCGCTGGTGTACCGTCTGATCGGGGAAGTGATAACTTTGCCTGCCTCACTTTGACCACAACAGACTGTCTTTGCACCGCTTACAATGGTGCCTTGCCAGACCAAAAGGTGCGTTCCAGCTCCCTGCGGATAGGTGATCAGCACGAAGGCAGTGGTCGCTTGAACCAATGCTGTAATACCAGGTCCGCTCCCAGTGAACCAGGACGTGGAAAGTTGCAGCTTCTTTCCCAACCGGCTGTTGGCTGCTCTTCATGTCAGACCCTACCAGAGGTCTCAATCCACTATCGACTTCAAAGGCTTTTTTTCTGGCTTTGCTTGTTCTTCATTTGGGGTGGTGCCTACGCCGAAGAACGCATTGGCGCAATGAAGACAAGGCCGGAATCAACACTCAGAGATACTGCAATTGGTGATTTGGACAGAACTCTGCCGATTGCACAAGCATCTTTTCTTTTCGGGTCCACTAGGGACGCCACTACTCACATGCTGAATGACAAGCCATTCCTCCTGGACAGGAGAGGTTGTTGGGTAAGCTTCCTCCCGCCTTTGGCTCATCCTTCAGCACTACACGGCTTTTGCTCTCCATACCGGAGACATGGAGAAGCTAGTCATCCAGGGCCCCATCCTTTTCCACTTGAAGCCCTTCCCACGATTCCTGGCACTTTTGTGCTCACGCAATCGAATGGAGGATCACTCAAGGACAAGACGCAGATGATAGCATCCTTGGGGCCAGGGATACACAGCTTCTCGGAGACCCATCTCACTGGGCAGAATCTCCTTAGCTTTCGCAGATCTTTGAATCGCCTCACGGCCCAGCAGAATAGGAAGACCACACAAATTGCAGGATTCCATGCCACCCCTCGAGATCAACACCAGCACGTTGGATCCTGGACAGGGGTACTTCAAGTCACTGACTTCAGAGCTTATGCATTACAACTCCCATGGCCGAAGGAGCACTGGCAAACAGGACGCCTTCAGGTTGCCAGACATGATGTTGGGGGCAAGCCTATTCTGGTGGCTTCAGTCTATGGGTATCCAGCTGGCCCCACATGGGGACCTCAAGCACATGGGTTAACTGACTCACTGCTTACGACTTTGACCAAGCAGGTTGTTTATGGAGCCAGTGGACTTCGCATCATCAGCGGAGACTTCAACAGCAGCCACTTGCTGGAGCAGCAGCGACTATGGATTGCTCAAGGCTGGACTTGTGCTCAGGAACATGCGGTACGGTTCCTTGGGCATGAATGGACCCCAACAAATGGTTCCACTTCTGCCGTAGACCAAGTGTGGATCTCCCCGGAAGTCGCCCTGATGTTGCACAGAGTGACTGTTTGCCAGATTTTTCGTGGACATGCCACCATAGCACTACATCTTCGCGCTGAAGTTAAAGCTACCACGATTCAATGCTGGCCACGCCCTTCTCGTCTCCCTTGGGACAATTTGAAGGGAAATTACGATTGCCTGGAGGACCAGCTTCCTGGTCTACCACCACCAGACGCCACACAGGCGTATGCAGGCTGGGCGAAGAGCATAGAAGACAACTTTGCAGCAGCGGCCAAAACAGCATCCTTGACAATGCCACCCCAGGCACGGGGTAGAGGCCAAAGAACTTCTCCCTGCACCCGAACTGAACTTCTTACCACTTGCAGACGCCCGCGTGAGGGAGAGCTGGCACTCAAGTTTGACTTAGTCAGTTCGGCCGTTCGACACTGGTATATTCAAGGAAGAAGACTACAGTCGCTGCTGCACGCAACTCGGTCCACAACCAAATCGCTCAACAAGGACCTCTACATCATTGAAGTGTGGAGCGCCATTGTTCGGGCCAAAGGGTTCGATCCCAGCTTCAAATTCTGGTGGAACAACAGGCAACCTCGGCTACCAGACTCTCACTTTGAATGGCCCCTCAGCTGCCCTTCTTCTGCCTTGTTGGAGCTCATTTTTCAGGAATTTCAGCTACATTTCCGGTCATTTGAAGCCTGGCACTTTAGGCAGCGTACGGAGAGGTATGAGATGTTACATGAGAAGTCCACCCAGTGCCTTCATCGTGAGCTCAAAGGACAAAAAGCAGATGTTGTGCAACACCTGCACTTTGATGAAACCTTTGAGGTAGTGGATGTTGAACATGATAGAATACGCCTCAGCCAGCCAGTTTCGACTGGCCCTCACAGCTGTTGGCTGCATGAAGATGAATTCATATGTTTGACTGATTTTGGGGATGGAGTTTTCCAATCTGGGAAATTACTTGCCATTGGAGACACCGTCCTGCTACGCAATTTTGTCCCAGACACGGATGGCATCTGCTCACACTTGACTGCCCACTGGAAGCAAAAGTGGTGTCAGATATCGATGCAATCTCCAGAGCAGATCGGCAAGGTGCTTGACTTTGCCAAAGCTTTTCTTCCACGTCTGAACTTCAAGCTCTGCCCTCTGACGATCACTGACTGGGTGGATGCACTTCAAAGAATGAAAACTACTGCTGCGCGAGGAGCGGATGGGATCAGCAGGCAAGACATGTTGGCTATGTCCGCCAGGCACCTGGGATGGCTAGTGCAATTTTTCAACCAGCTCGAAGATGGATTGACTTCTTGGCCCAAGCAGATGCTAACCGGCTTAGTAACGTGCATCAGCAAGATCGACGAGCCTCATTTGCCGGATCATTACAGGCCCATTCACCTTTTTACGGTGGCGCACCGTATTTCCGACAACTTTTGCGTATGATGCTGCCATTTGTTCCGGTTGAACTGCACGGATTCATGCCAACTAAAGAAACGACACAAGTATGGTTTGAGATTCAGTGCTGGATCGAGTTGGCGCTGGCACAGGGCATAGACTGGCATGGCTGCTCGGCAGACATACAGAAATGCTTTAACTGTATTGAACGGCCAGCATACTTCTTGCTTGCCGAGCACCTGGGAACTCCGGAGGGGATCCGCCGACCTTGGCAAGATTTCCTGGCCTCCTTCGAACGGCGTTTCCAAGTTTTGGGGGCTGTCAGTTTGCCGATAAGCTCCACCAGGGGCTTTCCAGAAGGCTGCCCGCTGAGCATCCTTACCATGATACACATTGGATGGGGCTACCACATCTTCATGAAGTTCTTCCACCCAACGGTCCAGAGTCTTTCTTTCGTGGACAATTTGGATTTTCATGGGGGGCAGGAAACTGAAATTGAAGAAGCCGTGCAGGGCACACAAACCTGGTTCCTTGACTTTGGCCTCAGCCTGGATCTGTCTAAGACCTTCTACTGATCAACCAGCGCTCGCATTCGGCAAAATTGGATCGCTGAAGGACGCAGGGTCTTCACAGACACAAAGGAGTTGGGTGGCGCCATGACAATGTGCCGCTCGGTTCGCAACCGAGCTCTGAAAGCCAGGTCTGACGGTTTGGAGCTCAAATGGAAGCAATTGGCCAGATCGCTGGCGCCTACCTTTTACAAGATCCAGATGTTGGCAACTGTCTTTTGGCCGTTGGCTCTACATGGGGCCGCTGCCTGTCCTTTGGCGGAGGGACACCTCACATTGTTGAGGAGAGCTGCCATCAAGGCGGTGGGATTGAAATGTGCAGGAGCCAACTCCTATTTGCGCTTTCTGCTGCTCGACAAGACGGTGCAGGATCCCAGTTTTTGGCAACACCGGAATGCACTGCTCACCTTTCGAAGGATGCTTCAGAAGGTGCCTGAGGTTTTGCAGATCTGGCGGATTTACCATGGACACTTTCACTGCCCTTTTCTTCCTGGCCCTTACACCAAGCTGCTCAACTTCTTTAGCATGGTGGGCTGGTCAGTTATTGATCCGCCTTGGATTGCTGACCACCATGGCTACCTGCACAACCTGTCCACCCAGGACAAAAGTTACTTGCTAGCACGCCTTGAAGATGCATGGGCGCAGCATGTGGCTCGCAACGTTAAGCATGCACACATGAGTCAGCTGAACGGGATTGAGCTGGCACTTTCAAGACTTGACCATCATCAGCTGGATCATCGATCGCGCCTCCGGGTCTCGGCCATACAAACTGGCGCTTTTTTGTCGCCCAGCGAGCACAGTAAGTTTGATTGTGATAAGTCTTTTTTGTGTACCACTTGTTTTCAGCCCGACGTGTGCATTGGCATAGCTGCCCCAAGTACGAACACCTCCGTACGGAGCTAGGTTTTGATCCCACACAATTTGTTGCACTTCCAGACTGCACTCAATTTCACCTTTTGGTCCCCCAACTAGCTGAATCGCAGAGACTGCTGGCCTACCTGGAGAGCCTGCCCGACCATACTTTTGATTTCGAGAATGACACTGCTGATGTCGGCTCGATGCAGCATCTCTTCACGGATGGATCTTGTCACAGATTTGGCCTTTCAGTCTCGTTGGCCGCTTGGTCAGTGGTCAACGCTTCTTCGCATGAGCTGATTGTGGCGGCACCGCTGCATGGGGGCAAGCAAACGGCGCACAGAGCTGAACTCCAGGCACTACATGCCGCCATTGCCTGGGGAAACAAGGTGGATGCGCCCATATGCCTTTGGTCAGACTCACACAATAATGTGGCTTCGCTCGACCTTCTGATCAAGGGTGAACTGCTACAGCTGCCAGAACGAGAGCTAGATCTGTGGACGGAGATTGCTCTTGCACTGGAGCAGAGGCAGCACTTAGCCACATACACCAGACGGATCCCAGCACACCTGTGCTCTACGTCTCTGGTTGACGAATTTGAGACCTGGATTTCATACTGGAACGACCGGGCTGATCACTTTGCTGGCCAAGCCAACAGGCATCGAGACCCATTGTGCTTGAGCTTAGTCCGTGCCAAGGTAGCCAGGTATGAATACTATGATGGGGTCTTGAGGCAACTGAGAGCTTTCTACTTAGCTGTAGCTGATTTGAACGAGCCTTCACCGGCTAGAGCTTCGTCTACTGAGGCGCCTGAGGCTGTTCGCACGGTAGATGTAGATGCTTTCACGGATCTTTTGCCCATCGGGTGGAAAGCAATGCTTCATGGCTTGCCGCAGGCTTTTCCTGTCACCTTTTCATGCAGCTTAGTTGAACTTTTTTTGGACTGGGAGACTCAGGAGCCCTTACCTTACTGGGTGTCGGACGTTGAGTTGGTTTTTGTGTTGGCTAGCCTCGGTTTTTCGTTTCCATTGGGGGCTCCTGACGGATGGAAGCTCACACCCTTTTTTGATCTTTTTGCCAAGCCCCCGATTACTCAGTTGTTGAGGCCTCTTTCGACCACCCTTGACCTTGTGTGTGGGGGTTTGGGTCTTGCGGTTTTGAGGAGGAGTGATTTTGTTTGTCCTGAACTTGGCATTATCAAGAAAGGGGGTGCCACTTTGCTTGGGGTGCCTGCCACTTTGGCCAACAAGGCCAGGACGGCGGTGGCGAAGTTCACCAAAAGACGTCAGTTTCGAAGTGCGCAGGACTTCTCGCGTCCTCTCCCGGCCTTTTAGGAGCTTCTGACTTCGACAGGTGGCCGCTCCGCGCTGCTTCGCCGCGCGAGGGTCACAGGATGCGTTGTCCGATCAGTCCGCGATAAAATTGCATTTCGACTGCATTTTGGTCACCCCTTTTTGTTCGCTCTCCCAACACACTGTCAAAGCATGGCAAATGTCTTGCCCGCATTATGCTTGCGAGGGCTTCCCACAAATTGCAAGAAGCTAAGCTAAGGTAAGATATCCCTTACCCTGTTGCTGGCCTGCTGTGCTGTGCGCCTGCCAGGTGGCGTCTCTACCCGCGAGGGCGCAATGAAGGCCATAGCTGAGGTGGCCAGGACCTGTGACAGTGGAGTCAACAGCTTGGAGTGAGTGGTCACACTTCACAGTATTGATAGATGAAGAAGTAGAATGAAGCAAAATTCCACAACCAACGTTTCAACACTTTGAGCAACGAGGTAAACCATGGCTTTGATTTCGGAGAGCCTAATTTGAACATATTGCACCGATCTGAGGGCTCCACGGCCAGTGCAAGCAGCCATCGAGCCTCAGCTATAGCAAACTTTCAGATCCAAATAAATTGCTGCCACTTTGATCCAGTCTCCTCGTCTCGTCTCGATTCAACTACCCAATTGAGTTGTAATGAATTACTCTTGCACCCTGCTAAGTTTCTACAGATCTACAAATTATCATATACTTTTCGCCCCTGCGACATTCTTCAGCTTCGTAGGCCGAGACACCATTGGCCCTTCACCTCGTTGCCTCAAAGAGGGTGTGAGGCCAAGGGTCGTCTGCTTGAGCCAAGGAGGATCGACAAATCTTTCGAGTTCACAACATCTTCAGCTTTCATTCGGGTGTCCTGTCATGTCTAGTAGGTTCGAGGCCATCGCTATTAGGGGGAGGCCATCTCTAGTTGGTTGGAGGCCACCTTTTGCATCCTTTTGCCGCATTTGCACTTGCTGATGTGAGAGGGCATCTGGGGAAAAGCATCTGCCTCTCAGAACCTGTTGAACGACAGAATTCCATCTACATACATCCTTGGGAGATTGGATTCGATACTGCGACTCAACGAGCCAGAAGTCGGGGCAGCTATGCTTCTGAAGGTAGATTGGTACCATTTTACAAGTGTGACAGCATGGCGTGATGGACATGCAAAGTTTGGCCACATTGGTTGCATGGCCACATTTCTCACTGGATGCGCGGCACCTAGACAAATAGAGCACGCACCTTCTTCAGAACCTGCAGCAATCATCCATGATGCTGCACCGTGGAACGAATGGCAACTAGTGGCTACAGGTCTCAGTGGTCTCTGAGCTGGACAATGCCACAAAGCAAAATTCAAAGAGTTCTGTGGCCACGGACCGTTTGTGAACACCATGTGGAATGTTCTGGGACACCCTTAGGACCCTCTGGGAACTTTCTGGGATGCTGGCCAAAATCATCAACATCCTGGCGTTGGTCTCAGTTCCCATTTCAGTGCCTATCCCAGTCTGGGTTTCAGCATCAACTGGACACAGCCTGATTCTGTTCGCGGGGCCAATATGCAATCGCGATGCAATGCTGAGCAAATACTTTGTTGCATATCGAGGGCAGCAACTCAGAACAAACACACCAGCTACCGATGCATGATGTCCTTGACTCATAATTTGTTCAAAACATGGTAGCCAGGTTCTGGTTTCTTCATCCGAAGGCACCGCCAACCCAATTGGCTTCAAGAAATCTTCACTTGCACACTCTAGCCAAGGGTCTTCAAAGCTGCGCTTAAGCGCCGAAGCCACGCTGCCCAAGGCTTTTCGGGTTCTGAGTTCTGAGTGTCAACCCAAAGGCTTGGAGTGTCCTGCACCATGGCTTCCAAAGCCCTGAGAGCACTAGCAGACATCATGGAAGATGCCTGGCAAGTCTCACGCACGAACATCATGGAATGCTCTTTGCTCAGCAAATCAGAAGTCTGAGGAGTTGGAACACCACTTAATAATTTTTCAGCATGTTCCTCAGCAGGTGTCTACAGAGTCTACATTGTCTACCTTGGATGGACATATTTATTTCAATCCTCACCAACTTGCTAATTTTAGCACAACAGCAATGATCTTGGGGCTCAACCCGACGGACCAAGTGGTGCTAGCACGTGTACTTTTGCGTACGCGTACCTCTAAACATCTCTAACCGACACAGCCAACACAAGGACAAAGTGCTTCTCAGATAAATCTCTAAATAGCAAAATAGACATAATTATATATTCATGCTTAGCTAGATGTGCTATTTTCTATCAATAACAAGTTTATATTTGATGATATTTGCTAAGGCGACGTACCCCAAATGATACCATTTCTAGTCTATTTTCCCACACTTGACTGCAGAATCAAGTCAAACTTGGCAACAGAGCCCTGCTGGTGGAGTTTTGTGTCGCCTCAAGTGCCATGACTTGGCCAACGCATTGGAACTTCTTCTATCTGGATAGGATGTTCCATGATGTTCCCAATTTTCCTCCGACAGATTCAACTTGAGTGAAAGTGCTGTGTGCACTTTGGAGACTTTAGAGGCCAAACAAAACATGTTACATTACATCATCTGGCAATGGTTCAACACATGGGATGGGGTTCTCAACTAGGAACATGTGCTTCGGTACAAGTACTTATCAGTATGAGGTCTACAAGTAGGAGATGATAGAACTTGTCAGACTCTGTCCCGACTTTTTGACACAGCCTTCCTAAGAGGTCTTGCACGTCTTAACACCTCTTGGAGACTGTTAGGCTCTGACAAGCGACGTTGAGGACAAGCTCTGACTATTTTGCCGTGAACGTCGCTCTGACTTCCTGGGGCCACGAACTGCAGCTTGGCCTGCTGACGGCAGTGGAAAGGATAGCAGCAGCCAGCAACCATACACGTCCGCTGTGCGGATATCTTGAGGTCATCTTGATGTCAGCACTGGAAACAAACAAAAGGATGCAGGATGCAGGATGCAGGCTGACAGTGCTTTTTCACCATGTAACATGCACACTACGAGTACTATTAATATTGATATATAATATTGTTCTTCACTCGATCGACCTTGCAAGCTGGCGCTGGCACGGTTGGTGCGGCTGCGTTCTCGAGCCGCCTCAGAAGGGCTCGCGCAGCCATCATGTTCCGCAATTTTTTGATCCGCCATGCAGATTCCACAATGTCAAGTCGACGAATGTTCAATGATTCTGCAAATGCCACCAAAAATACCTAAGCAAACATCCCGGCCAAAGTCTATCGGTTGGCAAAGTTGGAACACCTGTCCCCACAGGCAAGGAAACAGTTCATCGAATACTCACAATGATCAGTGAGTCCCACGATAATATCATCTTTGGAGTGCCTGTAAAAGGCTCTGCCATCCTCCTTCAGCTGCTTCCTCTCACAAAGACGGGAGGAGGACTGAAAAAAGAGAAACCCTGTCGCCACTGTTGGCAGCTGTAGAATGGAACCACAAAGGCATTCTCATCTCAGGCAAGCAAAAAAAATGTTCGGCGACATAAGTGTATCTTTGGTTTGGGCGTATTGTAATTTTCAAAGCCCAGCAGCAAAGCAACTGTGTCACAGTTTCATACAATGTATATCATTTGTCGAAACAATGACACGATTAACTTGACTGCCCTACTCAGTGCCAAACAAACAGCGATTCAACGAAGCTCTGGCTGGAGCAGTGATGTTCAATCACGTTCATCATGGCAAACAGTAATTGATGTTGATTGATGTTCCAAACAAAACCATCAAACAAAGCTGGGACTAGATGTCTAGGCCCCTAGGCCATTCACTCTCACCTCCAATCCTCTCCACCCGCCCCAGATCCAAGAAGGGGCCCAAGGAATCCCAGGCGAGCCACTGTGCCGCATCGGTTAACCCTTGATTCGGTGGCTCGCCAAGGACCTATAAACCACTTCATCATTTTTATAATTGGGATTTTCTTTAATGGAAAATACTATAAACATGAAGGTGACAAAGACCAAGAACCAGTATTTAATTTATTGAAGAAATATACTGTTCTAATTAAATGCTGGTGGTGTTCAGCTCGTAGCGCCCATGAAAGGATACCTCACTTTGCACCTTCTTCCCACCCTGAATAGACCCTACAACTCTCTCCCTGCAACAAAAAAACATGGCAGTCTGTGGAACAAATTTCAGCGACTCATTGTGTGTTTCTGTGGTTCGTGTGTGTGGGCACAAGTCTTCTTTCATCTAATCTATTGGATGCATCTCCTGCGGCAAAGTACTCGCGGAGGCCCATGGCCGGAAGCCTCGCAGAATTTTGCCAACAAACGACGAAAAGGAATGACATGACCCTCAAAGAAAGCGAAAAAACACCCACCAAAATAGAACCCCAAATCCATCCCGTTTCTTGACATCAGTTTGGTGTCCTTGGACATAGTTTGCACATGTTTGCACTATATTTTGTAGTTGCCAGTGTTTGCAAATGACGATATATTTAATTCTTTTCATATTTGCTTCAGTCATTCCGAGATGAAAAACCTCACCATGTTGTGGAGTCTGTCACTCCTAGTCGTGTGATGTCCATCATCCTTGAACTCAGGGCCCGTGGCCTTGAGGGCCTGGGTATGCCGCAGTTGCCCCTGGAGGGCTGGGTTCAAGCAGCGGACCCCTTCTGACTGGGGCTGTCTTTTCTCCATTAACGTGTTAAGCATGTGCTGAAACAAATGCTTGCGCATGCTTGCAGCAATGTGGTCCACATGAACCTAGCTGAAACCGCAACTTTGGCCAATGTGGATACCCTGCTTCCAAATGAGAGCCGCAAAGGCCTCTTTGCTTGTTCCCAACAATCGGTATAATGATACTTTTCCCGCATCGTGATGAGGAAACCAAGCATTCACCTACTTCGAACACGGTCACTGACCATGCAGCGACCTTACTCTGAAACAAAGAAGCACTCCGCCTCGCGCAGACCGACCGCGTGCAGAGAGGTGCGCCTCATCACTCATATCATCGGCATCGTATCGTTCTAGCTTTGTCTTGACTCGAAGAAATGAAAGCAGCCGCCCTGCGATGCAGCGAGCAAAAAGCACAACATCCTGCTCATATCTTTTGAGTTACATGTAGTACCGCGGCATACCAAGTGCACCTGCAGCAAATGCAGCTTTCCTCCTTTCATCAATTCCATCATCTCAGGTGCCCCTCTCCGGGGCACGCATTTCTTTTTGGCTGTTGTCATGGCTTGCTCTAGGGCCTCTAGGGTGTAAAGAGGGCCCCGACAGCTGAGAGGCGTGACAAGAAGACTTACCATCCATCGTAATCAGTTGACTCCAAGCTTCCCCGCAGTCGACGCAGGCGCCTCAACAAAGAAAAAAAGATGTCCTTTGAACATGGATTCCCTTTGTACGGATAGCGATCATGGAAAACCTATCCATCTTTCGCCCTGCGGCTGGATGGTCAGTAAGCTCCACCACTCCAAGTTTAGGTCTTCGCAAAGCTCCAAAGGCACTTTTTCGGGACCCAAACTGGAGACCGCAGCAGCTGCGTCTCAAAGTAGGGAGATCGATCTCTCTCAAGACATCTATATCTATATATTATGTAATACTTTGTGTATATAATATATATATATAGTTACATAGTTGTATGTACAATGTTATATAATATAGAAAGCAAATGAAACTGATGTGCAAAATCTCGCAACAAGCATCGTTTCAAGCACTTGCGGGACTCCTGAATCGCTACGTCTCCGCTCTTCCCCTCTTGGAACCCACACCACTCGTCGCCAAACGGGCGTTGATTGCGTTGTCGCCTTTCACACAGCAATGGCTGTTTCATGCTGTTCAGTAGTTACTTTGTTAATCTTTGTTATACTCATTTGACCATCCGCGCCACTCATTAGGGAATTTGGTGCCAAATGGATTGAACTCATCCAACTCTCAAGTGATCCTCTGGTTCATGATGCAACATTCATGCACATTCAAGGACAGGTGAACTTCAAAGCCCTGTGAAGTGTTGATATCTTGTGCCAAAGGGAGAATATCTTTGAAACCATAAATGGTTGGCCTGCACGGCTCTGGCGGTCTGTGCTCCCTCCGCAGTCACACGGGCTCTTGAGGCAACACCTAAGGTGTAACGAAGGCCTCGTCGTTTGTTTCTTCACACAAGCTATCCTCTGCTACTCTTCTTCTGAAACAGTTGATCTTGACATGTGAGATCATGTGAGTACTGCAGCCCAATCCAAATGGTCTGCTGGGACACCGCACTGGTTCCTTCCGGTGTCTGACCTCACCAACCAAAGCAAGGTGCACAAGGTACTGGCGTGCATGTGCTTTGGCCAAAGCAGCAAATAAAAGCAAACGAGAAAGGGGAAAACCAAGAAACATTTGCCTGCCCGGCAAACTGCTGGAGCAGAAGGCTGTGCCTTGCCGAAAGTGGCGCCAACTCTTGCTAGTCAAAGGTCTACGTCATGAGAAGACTCTCAGATCCAGCTCTCAGATCCAAGGGACGTTACTGTGACTGAAGTGGAACATACATACTGGAACTAGAGACAACACAGGCACTTCTTCTAGGTTGGAGGCCATCGCTATTATTAGGTTGGAGGAACCAAAGACAACACAAGCACTTTCCTTCGGCTACGGGGCCTTCAGCTCCGTTTTGTTGGTCCTGTTGCACCGTTTCAACGCTCTTTCTGAGGTCGCCGCTCGGGACACGGTCACCTGGACATGACGCTCTTCCTCGCCTTTGACCTTTTGGAACTAACTTTTGAGGAACACGACTTGTACGTAAAGGTGTCGAACAAAAAAGAGATTGAGGCAAGGAGGTGTTTGAGGGCCTGAAAGGGGCCCAAGTTGGCCCAAGCAGCTTCTTTTGTTTCAGAGTGTTTCAGTTCTTTTTACATTTCACGCCCCAATTCCAGTTTCGCAAGGGCAACATTTTTGGACTAAGGGTCCGCACTGGAATCGTCGACCTGCTCAAAATGGCTCATAAGAATGAGAAGAGTCACAACGAGCTGAGCATTTTTGGCAACTTTACTATTCCACTATTTGAGTGTTTGGGTGCCTATATTGGAGTACTTGCTGATGACCGCAAGTGGATGTAGGATGCTGTAGCTGTGAAAAGAAACGTTGAAGCCTCTGACAAATGAAATGAGGGCACAGCTTTTATCTAGTTATATACATATATAGCAAAATATATCTGAGACATGTTTTTAGGTCGTTCAAGCTTGCCTGCAGGGTCCAGCAGCTACCAATCTGCGGCAGGGTTGTAAAGGGTGGCTCTTTGAATTGTATTATCTGACCCCTCCTGGCCTCCACACCAGTACTGACGCAAACACAGTGTGCCCGGAAGAGAAACAAATTCACCAACTCGGAAGCATGAGGTCTAGCACACGGACATGAGTTACTATGAGCCAAATGGATCCAAATCGATGATGGTCCTGATTGGGAACCCAAATCGTAGAAAACCACTCTCGCTTTTTCCTTGCCAGCGCCATCTCCTCCAAATCAGACCACTTTGCCTTAGATTGCGGTACATTGAAACCATGAACCCGGATGACAAACATTGTTGAGCATTCTTTCGGGAGAAACACCTTTTTCAAATAGTTGATAGTCTTCAATCTTGATAGTTTCATGTAGTTTTGCTTGTTTGCACAAAAGCAAAGGGGGGAGCTGCCACGACACCCCAGCACTTCTGGGTGGATACGGGTCCCAGGACTTGACATGTTTGGCCCAAGGATCATAGGCATGGTGTCTTCGCAGAAAAATCCGCAAAGCGCGAGTAGTCTGCCTGCCAGGTCTATGACTCTTGGAGATGAACGCCCACAAATGCTCGATCTTTTTGGAGATGCTTAGGTTGCCTGCAAGCCTTCAGCCTGGTAGCTACACATGTAGCACAAGGGCAAAAAGAGTCACAGGCTCTATGCATGATACTTCTGTCAAATGCGTCAATTCAAAGGGCATGTCTGAGTATGAGTACATAAGAAGAGATGAAGGTATGGTATGTTTGTTGACCGATGTCAGTGAAATATCAAGCCTCAAGCAGGTTCTGCACACGGTCGACCATGAAGTTGCAAACATGAAGGACATATAACAACAAACGCAGAAACCACTTCTTTTTGGTGCCTGCGCCCCATCTGACAGCAGGTTGAGGGCTACTCGCATGACCTGCAACAGGACATTGGGTTGATGTGTCGAGACGGACAACATCCACTTGCCAGGTCCTGCCAGGTTACCAATAGGGGTACCAATAATAAGGTATAGGATCACTATTTCAGTTCAACCGCGCCCTTACCTTATCAAGCGCCAGCCACTACCTCCAAGCACCATGAACTGTCACGTTTCATGGTTCAAGGCTTACAAGCCTGCTTGTAGTTGACCATCATTCATAATCACACACCATCATTCCGAAAGGAACCTAGGGAAATAACAAAATGCTTTGCAATGGCAATCAAATAAACCCACGACACCTGGGTCCATGGGAGGTCCTCCTCCTGCTGCTCCCTTTCCCGTGCCTTCACCGGCAGTTCCTGATAGCCCTGCAACGCTGGACGGATCGATTTCACCGGATTCAGAAACCGTTTTGCCACCGATGTTGTGCTACTGTGGGGACAACAGGAAACATGACAAGACTCATCAGACCGACCTGAATTCCAAACACAATATGGTCCTTCAGGATCTATCAATTTCATCAAGTTTGTAGAAAACCAGCAGCAACATGCAACAAACCTATACTCACTGTTTGCAGAATTTCTCCACTTCGTGTTTTCACGGCGTAGATGGCACTCATCTGTATTTAAGTTTGCCATAGTTTTCAGGTAACATCCACCACCAAGGACATGGAGGACAACTCTTGACCATCTTGGAACAAGTTCATCGCCTTACTCTGTGGAGCTGTGATCTCATCGTGGTAGTAGTAGCATCCTGGCCTTGGGCTCCGGTCCATGGGCACCGGTCAAAGCACTGTCGCCAGGGAACATGGAGCTAGTGTTTGGAGTTGTGCCATCCTGTCATCTTGGAATACGCATCTCTGGGCAAACACCGTCTTGAGCTTCCTTGGATGCCCTGCGGTCTTTTGGTGTCGGTGCCTGCACTCAGGAGTGTGTGTGGCTGGAGGTGCTTCTTGGAGGGAAACAGCTCTCTGAAAACAGCTTGGTCATTTCGTTTCAACAGCTTGGAGCAAACCTGCACAAACCCAACAGACCATCCGAAACCATTTCCACCAAGCCATGCGCATAGCCATGCATAGCGCCTTGCTCTGTGAAATCTGCAAAGTCATCCAAGCCCTGTCCGCCCGCTGCAGCGCTGCACTGGAGTGCTTGAGTGATGAGGCTGGCACCTGGGCATGCTGGGCATGCATGGACCAATTGAAACTGCGAACTGGCCGAATCAGAACTGCGAACTCAGGACCCAAGAGTTCGAGTTGGCGCTGTGCCACACGATGAAACTACGATTCCCACAGCTTGGAACTAAAGGCTGGAAGTGTCACAACGACTTACTAGTAGCTCAAGACAACCTAGAGAAGAGAAGCAGTTCCTGAGACTTGGAAAAAGAAAAAAAAAAGGAGACGAGGTAGGAAACCCCAAAACGCACTCCATCCCAACACCAACGTTGGATCCTCTCGTCAGACAAGGCACATCGACCGCTTTTCTTCACTTCCGACTTCACCGCTGGCATCACGATCAGCGGCTCGAAGCCTTGGCTTCCTCTCTCTAACCAACGAACCAAGCAATGTCCTTGCAGTCTCTGTCAACCTCACAGAAGTTGCAGGCAAGAGGCGCTCATTCGTCGCGATCTTACCTGCCAGTCTGTGGCAAAAGCATGTTCTCACGGTTGCGCACATCTACACATACATAGTGTTCGTTTGAGAAAGGCACCGGTTGGACCAAGTTAACCTCAGGACTATGCACCCTAACTACGGCAACTGCGAAACTTGAGCAATGTCGAAAAAACTTGACTGAATGAAGCAAAGTCAAAGCTACCGCCTCCCCTGTGGCCTCCTTCCTCCAAATGGGATACTTCGAAAGAGTATATCTTATATATATATAGAGTATGTCAATGTAACGTCATGTCGCACTTGAATTGTGAGCATGTTCATTGTATCATCCTCCTTTCAAACTTAAAAATCTAGTAACTAGTACAGTGCTTTGCCACAAACTTGTGAAGTCTCCAGAGTCCTATGTGCTCTGAATTCGGACCACAAAGCACTGTCAACCGGCAAACAGCTAAGAACTTTCAAAAACTGGTCCAGTCAGATGAGAGGCATTATTTTTGCTTTAGGCATGTCCAGGCTATTGCCGAAGTGCTTAAGAAGAAGGAGAACTTGTGGAAAACTGGGAGAATCTCTCGTTTCATCCACAGCACTTTGTTGGCAAGGTACGATCCTCTGGGGTCGTGGTCGTAAGGGAGAAAACGACCATGCCTTTGACGAATTGCAAATAACCTGAAGCGATGGATCAATTTGAAAGGATCTGACTCTCTGCCTACAGCACCTGCAACCCAGGTTGCCACTGCTTGAGAAGCAACAAGCTGCATGGATCCTCCCCAGCATTCTATGGATGGAGTCTTTTATATATCACACATTTTGCTGTTGATGTAGTTACCCAGTTGCAGTATCCCCAAAAATGCTTTGTTAGATTTGAACTAAATCAGGTCAGTCATGGCCCTATGTGCCATGCGGTGAGCCAAGCAGCGAGTCTCCAGCTCTAGAGCAATTTGTGAATTGCCTCAGGAGTGAATCTCGCCGAAAAAATAATTTTCTTTTTGCGAAGATGTCTTGACATCTTCAAACCAATGAGGCCCCTTTTCAATCCTGTTCATCTGTGAAGGAACTGTTCACGCAGGAGCTGATCATGAGTGGATGCTCCGCGCTTCAACCTCTTCCGCCCGGATTCTTGGGCATCCGTGCCCAAGGCTGAAATGGTGAAGGCGCTCTTGTCACATTTGTCTGAGCAAAATCACAAGAGATAGCAAAGCTCATTTGCACGTGGTGTCTCGATATGCATGACGAAAACACCTCATTTGTGTACTAAGGCAATACAAAAGCATACAAAAAGCATCAAAAAGCTCTAATTTTGGCAACTGGTGCACTGCGCATGTATCTGCAAGCAAAACATCTGGAACACCAAAAAATTTGCTTGACCAAGGGTGGCTGGACTTCAATCCTCTTTTAAGCACGCAAAGCCATTCAAACGAGAAGTGCCTATGGTGCACGACAGGCTCTGATCTTCTGCTGGAAGAACAAACAATTGGGTCGGTTGCAGTCCAACAAACCCCTCAGGGCAAAATAAAGGCCGCACATGAAGTACGGGCTGGGTTGAATGGTGCGTTGTTACAACGCAATACATCATAATACCAAAGCCAAGAGGCGACTGCTCCATTCGTTGTCGGTCCACAAAGACTTTTCTCCATAGACCTGTCAAGTTCTCAAGTATCCATTTGTGGAATGGCATCACCTGTGACATTGCCTCTGTTATGGCATCCTCTGAATGTTCTTTTGTGCAATGGCCAGCTGTGCTGGGATTCCAGACAGGTTTTGGAGGCCGTGCCACCGCACAAGAGGAGACGTCAGAGGCGCATTCGTCAGATTTGACTTTCTGGCTGGGCCTAAGATCGCGCTCAATCTTTGGGCCTATTTCTCATGAAATGTGCATGGAGTCTTGGTCCTGAACTGGGGCATCTGTTGTAACGACAAAGTACATCTAAGGTCTTCCACTTATTGTTATCAAAGGATGTCTATTAGTACATACTTGCAAAATTCAGGTTAATAACAACATCTGCAACCAAGCCAAAGCAACATGAATCAAACTAAAGCCGAAATACATGTAGAGTGCCATGCCCGTCTTGACCTGAGAGGGTATTGAGGAAGGGTGTCTGAAAGAAGATGGGGAATTACTATTCGGTCGCTTTGGAACAAATCTTTAGCCCAACGACACTCACAAAGTCATAATGGAATGACTGCAGGGTGCAGCAAATAAGCAGCCTGGCCTGGCCTAACTTCAAGTAAAATGACCCAAACCATAATAGTGTGATCTCCCTGGCCTCATTCTCAACAGAATATATCATACATGTATAGTTTTGGGTGTGAGAGGGTCTGATCTGCCTAACAGCAACACTGCAACAACAGCCAACAACATCTTTTGCCAATGGCCCTCACCTGTGGTGTTTTTCACGAAATGGGATCACTCTTGCATGTGCCATGCAAGTTTGATGATTGCAGAGTGGACACGCCCTGGTACAACATGATTTCATCTTGACGGCCATGTCATAGATCTTTGTGTGTCCTTCCGTTTGAATACTAGCAAAAGGCAACAAAGATAAAGATCACGTGCCGGGCTGCATTGCGGAAGGTGGCTTTCTCGCCTCCAGAGCTAGAGACCATCCACATCTTCCTAACACAAGCATCACAAGGTTGTTTCAAGTATACTGTATTGGTCAAGCATGTACACAATGTCCCCTTCGTGCTCACAAGCCATTCTGCTTCGATATGTTGTTCGTCTACTAGAGTGAGATTATCATCCAAATTTCTATGATTGTCTATGCATTATCTGGTCTTTAGATCGCACTCTGAGTTTTCGAGCCTCGATGGGCTCTAAAGTGTGATTTCTCTGACCTTCCGCGACCTTTAAATGATGTGGATGAAGGTCAAACTGTTTGTCATTGGTAGCTAAGAGGCTACTAGTACCAAGGGCATCGCTACGACTAAGAGGAACAAGGGCATTACTATAAGATAAATATTTATATGGCCGCGGGGCCGTTTGTCGCTCTGGACGTATTTGGGATGTCTGAAACCCGTGCTTGTTTTTCCCATGTCACCGATTGACTAAAAAGACTTATATATACGTATATACTTGCAGTGACTTCACAGTAGATGACAAACCAACGGGTAGTGTATGTGGCTATTACAGAACCAGCCGGCTGAAAGCTTTCCTGAAGCTTGTTCTTTGATGTTCTTTGTACATCCTGGGCCTCTTCCCTCATCCAAGGATCGCTTCATCTTCAATAGTAGATGGATCCTTGCGTTCACTCTCCTCCTCAGATTTGCCACACGTTTCCTTCTAGTATTCATGAATTCTTATATATTCTTATGATCCAACCACCATGAAACAAACAGTTTGGGGCGTTACCTTCTGATCCTTCTGGGCTTTAAGTTCTGACCCATCCACATCGAGCATACCGAGCTCTGTCGAGTCAAGCCTACTGTGGGCTCAAGACGGCTCGACAATGGCCAATTCATTGAGAGGTCTGTCCGAGTGGCCAATGGTACAAGTTGCACACAGTCCGTAGCGTTTGAAACGATCAAATGTGTCTCCCCGAGGCCAGTCCTGAGTACAAAGGACCAAGGATAGGTTCCCTGCAAAATCCTACAAACTAATGACTAGTGATCCAAGATGACCAAAGAGCATCTACTTGTGAGTGGACAGCTGAGTTGACATTGGCAAAGCACAACAAAGCACACCAGTTTTGTGTCTTTGGATTTACAGCATATTGGATGTTCCAGGGTGGATCAGTACTATTTCCTCATGGTCAAACGATCTCAAACAACTGTCATGCTCACACTACTCCCCAAAGGACAACCAAAGCATCAGAATCTGTGACTTCAGAATCTGTGTTCTGGAGAAGCAGAACATGAAGTCCGCCAAGCAGCGTCTTGAGGGCAATGACCTTTGTCCAGGCCAACCCAGGGTTGCAGGCATAAAACATCGACCCATCACAGCAACGGCACCACGGCACCGTCCCAGCTACTAGCAATGAAAGTTGTTGCCACTTGATCAAGTTCTTCCATTTTCATGAAACATATTTCAGGTGAGTCACAGATCCAGCGAGTGGTCGACAAGTGGAGTCCATATCGCCGTAGTGGTTGGCTGGGCCTTAGTAGCATTCGGAGCCTGCACCCAAGACAACCTGTCATAATTCTAGTTTCAACAGAATCACCCACAAAGCAATGCAGGCCACCTACACACCCTTTCGCATCTTTCGCCGTTTGATCTTTCAAGCTACATTTTAATGCCGTAACCTGTATTACAAACGCACAAACTCCTCACAATCCATCCGAATCCTTTCAAATGAGGCATCTAGATCAAGAAGTGATCACATTGTGGCACTTCGAGCAAACCAGTGAGAAGAACTTGCAATTAGGACCACTTCATCCCAACAAGTGCATCGAAAGCGAATGAAGTCAGATCGAAACCTCAAGAATAGTTTTTAGCAAATCCCAAACAAACACGTTCCCAGCCTTGCCACCAAGCAGCAGCTAGTTACACACATCCCCTTGTGCAGGAAGTAGTTGGTGGCACAAGTCTGGCAGTCTTTCGCCTCGCAACGCATCCCGGTGGGATATGATAAGACCAATCTCCAAAGTCTGAAGCTCAACGTTTGAAGCTCCGCCTCTGCTCCTGAGCCTCAAAGCGACTGCTTGCAGCATTACTGCCAAACCAACTGGCTGGTTTCATCTCGCCACGATACCCACTTATATAATTAAGAAACTCAGCTCAAATCTCCAGATTCCCAATGTGGAATATACAAAGGCTTTCCGTGACAATTTGAGACTGTTTCCGAGTTATAGCTCAAACTGCTTTGCACAAGCCCTCCACAAGTGGCACAAGCATCATCACCTTAAAGGGCAATGGACCGCAAGAGCTCCAGAGGTGCAAATCCGCAGCAATGTGTACATCTTGTTCCTGCTCAAGTCAGGCTTCACAATGCAGTCAAGTGGCACACCTCACACTTATTACCTTCATTGTTTCCAAACTTCCCATCAGGGCACTCTTCCACACAGGTCTTTCCGTGCCTTGGGGACATGGGACCCACACGGCATCATCTCCATGATCGCATGAGTGGCCTCTTTTTTAAAATGGCATGGGAACTCGCTCCATGTTGTACGCACATTGACACATGATGACACATGTATCCACATGTTCTTCTTGTCATCAATCCGCTCCTGCGGTCAAATAAGTTCGGCAGAATTCGGGACAATACCGAGTAACTGGCCACAATGTCATTCTGTGACATGCTCTGCTCAGACATGTTAAGACATGTCAATAATCTATAATCCCTATGAGAGTAATACCAAGGAAAAACGCACCTTGTGTTGATGCGGAGAAATGAAAGACAAGGGAAGCTTTAGGGAAGCCGTGGCAACGACCTACTCAGAAGCACCACCCGACTGCCTGATTGTCTCTGCATGGGGAACCTTGCTCAATGAAGTTTCCAAATCTTCCAAAAGGCAGCCAAGTTGCAAGAAGCGAGCCCCCTTGCAAGACAAGCAATCCTGGCAGGGTTCGAATAGAGTTTAACCTTTGCCATGCTCTGCGAAGGCCGACAGAATCTCGGTCGAAAGTCCCGCAATGCACCTCATCTGTACGACCATTGCAGGTGCCACAGGTTTGGTGGCACGAGTAGGCTTCCTCAGAGATGTAACGATCCTCCGTGCTTCTTCGGTCTCTCGTTGGAATCTTCAGGACACATAGTATATGAAGCAACGGAAGCAAATGTTCCCTCACACCCTTTCACCACGCCGAGAGATGGATCCTGGAAAGCCTTCGGCTGTTTCAGGGTGACACTCAACGGAGATGCTCATCATAATGGATTTCGAAGTAACAAAACTGCTGAATTGATACATATTGATACTAGTAGCTCATGGTAGCTCAAGGTATGATCTTTCAACTATGATGTCGGAATCGATCGGATTCACAGGAAACTCTCTCACATTCTCGCCAGTCAATGTCAACAGCAAGTAGGCTCAATAGAGAACGGGTATTTGAGCCTGTGCTTCCTGTGAATCTCCGATGAAAGGATGGCTAAGCCATTGTGGCGGGGCTGGCACAAGAGGTACCAGAAAAAATGTCTCCCGCCAGTGTAAAGCGGTCTGGAAATGACGGAGACTTTGCCTGGAAAGCGGCGTGGGCTCATCTGGGAAACTTGAATATGTAGTACACGCTAGCCTCTCTCTCATTCTCCTAGGCCAAATGGGACTAATTACTTCC